ATTGTTTGTGCGACGGAGCATCTAGATGAGGAAGGCCCAGTCGACGAGGTAAGCATGCGCCTTTTACGTCTTTTCCACGAAAGAATCTGTATCTATTGCAAGGAATAGGGTCGGAGCTTTTTCACGAATACGCAGTTATTTAATGCAAAATAGGCCCAGACTAACTTTGAGAAAAAAATCCGCTGGATAGAACTCTACGGATGCATTCCTAACAAAATCTAGCTGCCAGGCCTCATTAGGGGGTAATGAAGCTATTCAGGGGATCTTTGCGAATAGCTACCCTTAGAGACGCAGTATACAAAATGAAGGAGGATGCACACATTCTTATTTCTGCAAACAAATTTCTATCTCCGAACTTGCAGGCCACGATTGGAGTATTTTCTGTCAATCGGCACAACGTCGTCAAATTGCGCATCAAGGAATATGCGGAAACGTTCGATTCCACACCTGATCCAAAACACAAGGTAAGTTTGATTAAATCTAGAATACATTTATATGCCGAACGAGTGTAGATTCGGTTCATGAGTTCTGGTTCGGAGGAATGCGCACATTGAAACCTAGAGTCCGATAAGGGCGACGGAGACTGAAACGGCTATTCTCGACGTACACGCCGTCATCAACCAGCCAGTCTCAAGTCCAGGCCAGCCAGACCCGAGGACTTTTTAAATCAGTTATTCGATACTTGATAGTGTACAATGAAGCCCGTCGGCACAGCGACTTCCTCAATGGGGTAAAGTTCTGTAACGAATGCTATAAGATCCGACGTAAAATCAGCGAGGTTTGCTGACGACTGACCCGGAGACAGCTTCACCACACAGTTGAAAATCGTCATTTAAAGGGCGGGCTTCCCTTCACGCAAGTATGGATCAGGTTGTACAGTTCACTAGTTAGAATCCCTAAACAGCATCCCCAATAAGGGTCGACCTGACTTAATTTTGAAGGCCATGGTAAGGGCTATAATAAGTGCAACAGCACTCTAAGAAAGCAGTTAGTGAGGAGGCCTACGAAAATACTTCGCCTAAAGTTCAATGGTAATGCCATCTGGCTTGGGGTCACGCTTTCTCTGAGACATGCAGTTCGGACTACGAGTTAACCTTTAAATAGATAGGATCTGAACCACCGGCGCAGTTTGTGACGCGACGAGTCCAACATATGACGATAAAACATGGTCCGAAGGTTTTCTGAATGAACATTACATGAAATCTCACGAAAAAAGACGCCGACTGTTACTGTTTGATGACCGCAGCTGATTGGCCAGATTTTTCGGATTTGCGGACTTTAGTCGTTTGCATTTCATGGCGGTACATCGCACTATACCGAGCATACCCGGCGTTAAGACGAAAGAAAACTCGAGAAATTTGGTCGGTGGATGCTTGGCTTACATGTTCATCAGGCCGAAAACTGCTCAGTTACTAAATCTACACGAAACCCAGGCCAATCATATCCAAGTCCTTCCAGGATCGTAAAATCAAGATCCGGAACAACATGCCGAACAAACAGATATATTTTCCAGTCGGCAGTCATAAAAGTTACCGGACGGCACATAAACGCTCTTAAAAAGCTTCCCCTGCTTCTGTTATACTTAGCCGTTTACTGTATTTATCCTTGTAAAACGCCCTCCAAGCTCCACTGAGGTCATTGATTGGGGTGTTTTCATACCCTTTAGCACTTGGTACAGTGATACAATGGAGGCTTGAGAGTGACTCAGTCTTTTGTATTTTGAGTTGTATTAAAAGTCAAATCCTATTAACCCTAACAAGAATGTTCATTTCTTTCAGTCCCATGCGGACTTCTTTCACATGTACATGGAGATTGGATCGGATACAGGGAAGCAGAGAGTGCGCCAGATCGACAGCCGCCACTTTAAGACTGTGCATCGAATACTAAAAGCAACCCGTCTGGCAGTTTTTTCATGAAAATTTTCGAGTTTATAAAAGCACTAGGTATTTGCTAAAACAGTTTTCTTCCAACAAGACAAACTAATGGCAAAACTTCTTGATCTTCTCCATTATCTCGCTTTTGGATGCATTGTCCACCCGCACCGCCGCCTCCTTCCCGAATTCTAGCAGCAATCAGAAAAAACAACAAACTTGACTAACCGTAGCGGGCGTAGATGCTTGGGCTGACAGAATTGCCTTCGCGAATCATAAATTTCACATCGGGGTTAGCTTTTCTTAATCCGGCGTAACCTGATAATATAAATTCCCTAAAAATAAGTGGGTTAATCATGTCAGTCGGACATGCAATCTTTGGTAGTCCTAAAAGGCAAGTAAAGTTCGGAAATCACTATGGTGCGATTACTTGTTGCATAGTAGTGTGGCAGAAAACTATACAGACCAAGAAAAGAACACTGCCTGCGGTGCGCGAAACAACGTAGAAGAGTAACGGAAGGGGAGTGGATGCACTCCCGTGCGACTCCAGCAAGAGCCCAACTGAATACCCAAAACCCTTCCTAGGCCCAGTCACGAGTGCCGGCTGTGTGGCCGTTAAATTGGTACGATAGTTCTTCGCCTTAGTGTATTTTCCACTTATATCTGCCTGACTTCAGTCTGAAAAGAACAGTGTACATAAGCTGGAATGTCTGAATACGGCTCACATAATAAACGCGTATCGGAAGGAAACACAGACGAACCTAGTTGTTTTGGGGACGTTTTAATAATGGTAGGGGGCGCTCACCGATCGTTCATACAGAACTCACTCGTTCCGTTGTGCCTTAAGGGCTCTCTCTCGAACCCAACCAGCAGCCGCACAGCGGCGCATGATACATAGGCAGAATGGCATTACCGACAAAGACAAGGGAAACTGGAATGGCCATTTCTGGCTTATCGGTTTTCGATCGGGAATATACAATGGTAGGGGGGCGCTCACCAATCGTTCATACAGAACTCACTCGTTCCGTTGTGCCTTAAGGGCTCTCTCTCGAGCCCAACCAGCAGCCCGATCGAAAACCGACAAGGCAACGGGCTCGTGGCCCGGTGGATAGAGGCGTGGACTTCTAAACCAACAGGTCGCGAGTTCGAGGCTCGGGTGTTCCACACTTCGGGCTTGGGTATAGCTGGCTGACGACGGCTAATAAGCCAGAAATGGCCACTCCAGTCTCCCTTGTCTTTGTCGGTAATGCCATTCTGCCTACGTTTTAATAAGTTATTTTAATGATTTAAAGTGCGGAGCCCCATACCACAGTCCCACTCGTTAATAATGTCACGACTGTTGCTCTGCCGGTTCTATCGAAAGGAAGCGAGCCCAAAATAGTACGGATCAGGGTATCCTAGCGAGAAACGCTCCTCATTTAGACAAAAGCTTCATGTGTACGACTTAAGGACCTGTATCTATCAGCTAGTGAGCAGAAAGAAGTAGATGCAAAATCCGATAAGATATTCTGGACGTAAACAACATTCTAATACCAACTGAATGTCTCAAATTTACACATAATTAGGTGGGACGGGACACGACTGGTGTAGCTGGAAACCCGGGATAGGGCTTTTTGGGCAGCCTAGCTACAGCCCGAGTAGTGGGTCTACGACAGATACCCCTTAAATAGGGGGAACGACTACGGGCCAAGTCAGAGGGAAGACTGACGTACGAGGAAGGGCTGGTCGTGTAATAGTGACACTGCAACACTGGTTAAGGGCCGGGCTGGAGAGTCAGCGAGTAGGCGAAACATTATGTATGCAGGGTAGTACGGTGGCGTGGAGATCACCGTGCATCGGCACCTTACAGGCGTGTTACATCACATTAATCTGCAGAGATGACCTCAAAGGGACATTTCGGGTGGCCGCTCGAAACCGCCCTGTGCCAAAAACTCCTGCCACCCCGCAAAGTACGCTCCTGAGCCACCTATAAACAAGGTCCGAAGCAATGATGAGACAGTAGGCAAAGCAACGGAAGGAGTCATAATGAGGGATTAAAAGTAAGGGATCTTGTCGACTTGTTGTCAAAGAGTGGCTACTTTGAAAAATTATCGGCAAACCGTGTTAACAGTGGTAACTTTATGAATTCAAGTCACCTCACTAGGCTATGTTAAGATATGATGAAGTAAAGCATATATAAAGAAACGTATGAGTCCCGACAAGGGAGTCGATGGCAAGACTGGCGGGGGAAGTTGGCAGGAGTCACAATTGATAGAATGTAAACGGTCGGGATGAACATATTCAACGAAGGAACCGCCAGCTTTTCCCTGATTTTATCTGCATCGAACCAACGACCGTAGTCGTCTGGATTTCTGCGCTCCGGTAACAGACCGTTTTTCGGAACTTTTGTCTGATTCTCACCAACAAACTGGAACTTATCGAGTTACTGTTTGGATTCGTGATCTTAAGTCGCGAAATACAAGGAGAAAATGGCGGTCTGAGAAGTCCGGTCCCTATTGTCAGATATCCGCCAGGAGGGCCCAGAGGGGTGCGAAGGACGCGCGTGGCAGGGAATCACTTAAGAGCCGTCCATGCTGTACAGCTACGATTCCACCTGATCTAGCCAGCCTCGATAATGACACGCATTGCAGCTCCTTATGGGCGACGATTCATGACAGAGAGATGGAAATCGGCTCATTCTTCTCATCAGTGAAAACAAAAATATTGAAACAGAAATTTCTGGCGGGGGAACTTTCTCAAACTAACTTGGTCAACAGTCCCCGTGATCATAAACCGATAAAAATACCTCGCCTACTAACAAGGCTGCCAAGTTAGCTTTTGTGGAATTCGGCGACAGATCCAATACACCCGTCGACAGCTAGCATCGTCATTTCTCGGACTTAGATTGCACTTGACTTTCTAGTCAAATAATGTATGGCTGTGGAAACTGGTCAGGAGTTTCACACGAATATAAAGACGTATGCATGAATGTAGCATCAGAATGTGGCGACCACTGGGAAGAGTGGTGGGGGCTGGATGGTTTAGTAACTAGTGCACACTGATTGCCAATCAGCGAGGAGCAAATATATCAAAGAGAAAGTAAGCATCCACAAGTGGATACTAAACATGAACCCACTTAAGGCCCTTGCTTGAGGTGCCCAACGGCGAAAACAGAAAGCGCAGCTCCTTTATGGAAGGACTGAGCTTAAGAGGACTTGCCATCTTGGCTTACGGAGGGCGAGCAGGAAAGGAACCTAAAGATGCAGCCTATAACCAAAAAACCACAACGCGCGCACGTAACTAGACAAATAAACAAAAAAAGTCAAAAAATCTCAAGGGTAACCAAAAAAACAGTAAGCCGATGTCATTAGCAAATCCTTTCCTCAGGTACTCAAATAAGAAAAATGTGTAGATAAATCAACTAGATTGGTTATAGGTTGAGGACCTGCTTAATGACAGTTTTTACATTGCCAGACAAGACTGGAGTTCTTTCGCGATCCTCAGTAGTTCCAGTGTGTCCTAGTAAAATTTCATTGGGCAGAATCCAAGATGAATGTTGGAGGCGTTTGGTAGAGATGGAATTCCATTCTATTTGATATCTATTGCTACTAGGGAAATAGGCAAGCGATGTGCATAACTCTGAATTACCCTGATGCGATCTATGATCAGTATTCAGCAGTAGAATATATATCAGAAGAAAAGCATTGGATTCAATAGGGACTTCATATATGGCTGAGAAGAATGAAAGAATGAGGCTTCGAGGGACAACAAAACGGCCGGGGAATTTTCAAAATTTTTTGGACGACGAACGATGCAAAGCAGGCATAGGGCTCAGCATATTTTTCTTGATATATAGTGCGAGTTCTAAAAGCAATGCTTATCCTGCATTCAAAATTATAAAGTCCTTTCTGTTGAGGACTGTTTCTCTCTTCCATGCGTAGTGCATGCTGTCAGTCATGTTAAGTCACTTAAATTATTACAATGCTGAATTTATATGTAGTTTCGCGGTTATCTAATTTCAGAAGTAGACAATCCCTTAAATAGTACGCGTACTCTTTGGGGCGTCATCGCTCGGAGTTTTCAAGTTTCCAGTAATGCCCTTCCAGATCATGTTTTTGAGTAGACTGGAAGAAAAGATTTAACTTGGCGCCGTTATTCTTGTGTAGAATACCCGAATCATTAGGGAAATCTATGTGTTGATGCGAATATTCGATTCATCGGTATTGGCCCGTAACTTATGTCCACTTATCTTACAACAAGATTTGGGTGTGTTCTCATCGGTATTTCGAAGTCGTACTCGTGAAATACTTACAGAGCCGTTCCGCGTTGTGAGGCTCTGAACCAGATCATATCATTACTGTGAGTGTAGGCTAAATTAAGTCTACTGAAATGAGAAAGGACTATCTGTAATATGTAGGCTTCTGTACACTTTTGATTTGTTTCACTACATTTTCTCGTATACCTGACCTGCCTGTACATTTGCTTGACTAAACAAAAAAATACACATTAACAACGCTACGGCGGTCAACATGTGTTCTGGTCTCGAGTGTGTTTGACGTCGTTATTTCTTGGCGTGCGCTTGTCACCTCTCAATGCTCTTAGCAATTCGTACGAGCTGACGGAGACTTCCTCCTCAAAGCCGACTTCAACGTATCATCGCGGAACCTAGAGCCTCCCTTCAAGCAGTTCCTCATCGGGACACTATCTCTCTACTTGGTAGGAGTCTACTTTACGTGAGTCTAGAACATTCCTTTTCTGGTTCTTTCAATCTGTACATTCTTTTTTGTTGGTAAACACAATTCCCCCGTTCGGAGTTAGTTTTTTTTCTGCATATATTACTGTTTGTAGTTTCTAAGTCCACATTTCCTCTACAAAACTGGTGACCCCGCTTTTTCCTGCATTCCGAACCTTTTTTCCATTTACCATGGCCAGTGACGACTCCCAAAATACTCACTCGACATTAACACCCTTTCTTTTAAATTGCCACCGTTTACCCCGAGCAACCCTCGCATTTGGTTCAGGCAGATCGAGGCTCTTTTTGTGACAAGCCGCATTACTAGCGAGCGTACCCGCTATTCATACGTTTTGCAGTCACTCCCATTTGATGTAGCTGTCACCGTCGAAGACCTCCTTGACCCCATTCCAGCCGACAAACGTATACGCTGCTGAAGGAAGCGTTTATCCAACGGCTAGCTAAATCGGCTAACCTTATGCTGCGGGAACTTTTCACTCAAGTAGAGCTAGGTGATCAGACACCTTCCCAGCTCATGCGTCATATGCGCTCACTTCTCGCGGGTAGGCACATGGACGACGCCATTTTTCGCGAGATTTGGTTAGAAAAGTTACCGGTGCCTATGCATCAGGTTTTGGCCATGTTGGACTCGAATACACCTTTAGAGAAACTAGCTACCCACGCTGACCGAATCAAAGAGTGTTACCCCATTAGTGCCTCGTGTTCCACTATTCAACAGCCACCGCCGTCCAAAGGCAAGCCCTATCAGGGCATTGACTCTGATTCAGAAGGCCCACCATTACCAGCGCACGACACTCCCTATACGGAAAAAACGTCATGCTGTTGCACAACGCGACGCCCGCCCACATCAGCCGGTCCTACTAGAACACCCACCGCCGCTTATCGCACCGATTACGACGACCTGAGAGACACTGTGCGTCTCCTTTGCACTCAGGTGAGCAACATGTGCTCTGCGCTTAACAGTCTTCAAGCGGCTAGAAAACAGTCATGCTCACATCCTCGGTCGAAATCCCGTGAGCGGCGTTCACAACCCTTATGTTGGTATCACCGCACTTATGGCCCGAAAGCCCGAAAGTGCATACCTCCTTGTTCGTTCGCTTGTCCTCCACAGTTAAACGACCACGCCAGCCAGTAATGGCGACGACTGCTGCTGGCCCGTCGCGACCCAGTCGCCTTTTCTATATTAACGACAAGTCGAGCGGCCTTCGTTTCCTGGTCGATACCGGTGCCGAGGTCAGCGTCATCCCGCCTCTAAGGCGTCACCGCCTCAAGCCATCGCAATTCTCATTGCAGGCTGCAAATAGCACCACAATCAGCACCTACGGCCAACTGTCCCTCACTTTAGATCTTGGTCTCCGGCGACGTTTTCAATGGGTCTTTATAGAGGCTGACGTCAAATCGCCCATTATCGGGGCCGACTTTTTGTCATCTTTCGGCTTAACAGTCAATGTCAGACACCGTCGCCTCTCAGACACCACCACCCAACTCTTTACTATAGGTACCAGTAGCTCTGAACGGTCGGTTGGCATTCATGTCACCATCCCCAGCACCCCTTTCGCTGACATTTTGAAGGACTACCCGTCCATCACTAAACCATGTCATTTTACCGAAACCGTTCAACACGGAGTGAAACACCACATTGTCACGGCAGGGCAACCAGTGAACGCTCGTCCGCGTAGACTCCACCCTGACAAGCTCCGAATAGCAAAGAACGAATTTGAACATATGATGAATCTGGGCATTATACGCCCATCATCTAGCCCATGGGCCTCACCACTGCACATGGTGCCAAAGAAGTCCCCTGACAATTGGAGACCGTGCGGTGATTATCGAGCCCTAAACAGGTCCACAGTCCCTGACCGGTACCCCATTCCCCACATTCATGACTTTTCCCACATGTTAGCCGGCAAAACTGTTTTTTCCAAGATAGACCTCGTCAGGGCGTACCACCAAATCCTGGTCGCTGAGGAAGATATCCCAAAGACCGCTATCACGACACCCTTTGGGCTGTTCGAATTTATTCGCATGCCTTTTGGTTTGCGCAATGCTGCCCAGTCGTTTCAGCGCTTCATCGATGAGATCTTGCGGGGCCTTCCATTCGCTTACGCCTACATCGACGACATGCTCGTCGCAAGCTCTTCGGCAGAGGAACATGCCTCGCATTTACGCCTCATATTCGTTCGTTTCCAGCAACACGGTTTGCAATTAAACGCTGACAAATGTGTTTTTGGCGTTAATTCTCTCGATTTCCTTGGCCATCACGTCGATCAGCACGGAATCACTCCACTTACAGAGAAGGTGCAATGCATCTTGTCTTTCCCTGTTCCCAACACACTCACTCAGCTGCGACGTTTCATAGGCCTTACCAACTATTACAGACGTTTTATTCCCCATTGTGCGGCAATCCTGGCTCCCTTGACTGACCTTTTGAAGTCGAAAGCAAAACCTATTGAACTTTCACCGGCAGCCCATACAGCTTTTGAGGAAGCGAAAAAGGCTCTTGCCGATGCCACCCTGCTGCACCACCTCAGCTCTGACGCTCATACAGAGCTCATTTTGACCACCGACGCTTCCAGCAGTACTGTCGGCGCAGTCTTGCAACAACAGGTGAATAACCAGTTGCAGCCTTTAGCTTTCTTTTCACAGAAGCTACAACCGGCACAGACTCGCTACAGTACTTTCTCTCGCGAGCTCCTTGCCGTCTACTTGGCCATACGTCACTTTCGACACCTTTTAGAGGGCAGAGACTTTTCGGTCCACACTGACCACAAGCCTCTCACTTACGCCCTGAAGGCCAAGCCAGATCGGTTCTCGCCCAGGGAAGTTCGTCACCTGGACTATATTTCGCAGTTTACTGCCGACATCCGCTACGTCCGAGGCAGCGACAATGTCGTTGCTGATGCATTATCCCGTCCGGACATCAACACACTCACATCCGATTTCGACCTGGCGAGGCTTGCAGACCTCCAAACAGCAGACGAGTCCATCGCGGACTTACGTACGTCTACTACTCTGCAGCTTCGAGATGCACCACTTCCTGCATCACCAGGTACGATTTTGTGCGATTGGTCCACAGGCACCCCTCGTCCTGTTGTTCCACTATCCTATCGTAAGGTCGTCTTTGACCACTTTCACTCCCTCTCTCACCCTGGCATTCACGCTGGACGTAAGTTAATCGTGGCTCGTTTTGTTTGGCCGAAGATGAATTCCGACATTGCCCTTTGGACCAAACAGTGTCTCGCATGCCAAAAGAACAAGGTTCATCGACACACTATCTCCCCTCCAAGTACATTTGCGGTCCCGGACGTTTGATTTAATCATGTTCACTTGGATTTAATCGGACCGTTACCCCCTTTACGTGGGTACACACATATCCTGACGGCCGTTGACCGTTTCACACGATGGCCGATTGCCGTTCCTATCTCGGATACCTCGGCAGAAAATATCGCCATGGTTTTTCTGACCCACTGGATCTCAACTTTTGGTGTGCCAGCCACCCTTATCACCGACCGCGGAAGTCAATTCCAATCTAGCCTCTTCCGTGAGTTCACTAGACTGCTCGGGTGCGCGCACATCACAACCACGGCATACCATCCTGCCTCCAACGGTCTCGTTGAGCGTCTACACCGCCAACTGAAGTCCGCACTGATGTCCCAAACAGAGTCAGCTACTTGGAGTGTCAATCTCCCTCTTGTGCTTTTGGGCATCAGATCTTCTGTCAAGGAGGACATCCAATGCACTGCCGCTGAACTTGTGTACGGTACACCCCTCCGTCTGCCCGGCGAATTTGTGCAGCCTTCCACAACAAACACTAACATCACGAGCACCTTCGTACAGCAGTTGAAACAACGCATGGTCCAACTGCGTCCAACCCCCACTCGTCTGACCTCGAAACACGTGTTTGTACACGAGGACCTTAAATCCGCCCCCTTTGTTTTCGTCCGGCATGACGCAGTGCGCAAGCCCCTTTGTTCTCCCTACGATGGCCCATATAAGGTCGTTCAGCGGAATGACAAGTTTTACGTCCTTCAAAAGGCTGATAAGACTGACACGGTCTCCATTGACCGCCTTAAGCCTGCCTATCTGGAGTGCCTCCCGTCGACCAGTGCGCCATCCATTCCCCCTACTACGTCCTCACCCGATACACCCACTCCACACACCTACCCTCCATCACCACACTTGACCATTCTACACACCCAGCCGGATCCTCCTCCCACACCACCGCCTATTTCATCTCGCTCCGGTAGACATATCCGTTTTCCCGCCAAACTTAAAGACTTTGTAGTGTAATGTTTTTCCCGTTTTATTTTATCGAGCGTTTTGTTTCTTTGGCAAACGTTCTGGTGGGGGAGTTGTGTAGGCTTTTTTACACTTTTGATTTGTTTCACTACATTTTCTTGTATACCTGACCTGCCTGTACATTTGCTTGACTAAACAAAAAAATACACATTAACAACGCTACGGCGGTCAACATGTGTTCTGGTCTCGAGTGTGTTTGACGTCGTTATTTCTTGGCGTGCGCTTGTCACCTCTCAATGCTCTTAGCAATTCGTACGAGCTGACGGAGACTTCCTCCTCAAAGCCGACTTCAACGTATCATCGCGGAACCTAGAGCCTCCCTTCAAGCAGTTCCTCATCGGGACACTATCTCTCTACTTGGTAGGAGTCTACTTTACGTGAGTCTAGAACATTCCTTTTCTGGTTCTTTCAATCTGTACATTCTTTTTTGTTGGTAAACACAATTCCCCCGTTCGGAGTTAGTTTTTTTTCTGCATATATTACTGTTTGTAGTTTCTAAGTCCACATTTCCTCTACAAATACAAATTTCTGGGTTAATCAAAGAAAAACAAAAAATATACTCATGCGAAGGCATTGGATAGTAATTCCTCGACAGTGCGTGTTTGCAAGATATGGAAAGTCAAATGTACCCCGTTGTACTGATGAAAAACGCAGGAAACCGTCCACTCATTGCTCCGACATAGGAAAAAGCACAATAAGCGTCTTTCGCGAAGTCAAGAAAGCATTTGCAGATTTTGAAGAAGACAATTTAAATATGATTATGGAAGGTTTCCTGAGGCCGCAATGCAAACACGTCATAGGAGCCTAATAATCGTGTCAATACGAGGACGAGAAAATCATGGAGGTCCAATACGAGCCACCGCACGAAAAAAACAATGACAATTAAACCAACAAACGATAAGAAAAGTTGTAGTAAAAGAAGGGATACAAGGATGGACAATGAAATGTAGGTAATGGATCAAGCTGTCAGTAAAAATTACTGAAATACAAAATGTAGGTCAGTCAGTATAGGTCACTATATTTTAAGGGCAAAAGGCAATACCTTTGAAAACCCTATAGAAAACGAAACATGCAACATCCAAATTTGAGGAAACATGGTATTAAAATATTGTCAGCATTGACACCGCTGGTTTTAAATTTGAAGATAAGTGGAGGATATTATTTTAAGTGGTTTTTCTGTGAGACCTAACGATTTTAGTACCTGTTTTTTGGTTGAATTTTCTTAAATACAGGCCTTTTCTCTAAGACCTGCCTGCTGCCATCTCCTTTCGAGTTTTACTAGTCTATGCCCGTCGTTCACTAATCGCACTTTGCAATTCTCATTTTGTGAATCTGATTTCTCTCTAACTGTTGTAATTTATTTTTACATCGTTAGCCCCTAGCTGAAATTCAGTCAACTTGTCTGCCAGAAGTTTTCTTAATCACAAATTGCCTCGAGACAAGATGAGACCAAAAGTCACTGGTCGACGTAAGCTCTCGGCTCTTGTAAGCAAACATGGCCTAACTAAACGTAAGTCAGAAGCTTTACCTAAATCTAAGTCAGATGATATTACTAGTCAGTCGTCACCCGTTGTACTTGGTCGGCAGCTTAATCTGTCTGCACTTGACCACTGGAATGACTTTATGCTAAAGTTTGGCTCTTTGCTGACAATTCTTGGACATTTATTCGACGGGAACATCTCCGATATTCCCTCTGAAGAATGTAGGCGTCTCGACTCACTAGTTCACTTGATCGCCAGTGAATCTAGTGATAGACAGAAGCGTTCTTACAACTTCCTGCTAAAAAATGTTCCTCGATCTGCTCGGCCAATTGATGTTGCGACCAGTTTCCTATATTCATGTGGTTTCAACTATAAAATAGCTGATGCCAAACGCTTGTCCTCCCGTAGTACAAATCCACCCATCTTAGTCAAATTGTTTTCATCAATCGAAGTTGACACAATCTTTACTCATCGAGAGCGTGTCACTGCGTACCTAGAGAAGGCAAAATTTTTCCTTTGTCATGATCTTACTCCTATGGAGCGTAGAATCGGGTCTCTATTCTCACGTAAACCTACTGCTTCTCAGTCTAATGCTCCCCAACTCGGTCATAATACCAGTGGCCATAAGGATTCAGCTTCTCCTACTCCTGCGACATCTGACTCCCTCCTCTTTCTCCTACATCTCCATCTCACTCAAGCCACTTGACGCATTTGCCTGCCCCTAAACTAGCTGCAGCAGCAGCAGCCCCATTTGTCGTTTCGTATCCTCCGGATAGTCCCGCTGAGACACATGAAAATCCGTCTACATCAGCTAGACCGATAACTTCTATTGTCCAACTGGGTGCTGTAAGGTCTGCAGCTAAGTCACCCGTGGCTTGGCGTCAGAACGGTGAGACTCGAAAATTGCATCAGACTCCGACCCAAATGATAGGTAGTACAGTTCCGTTTAGGGGTACGACGCCTTCTCTTAGATCTAACAAGTCTGTTCAGCCCAGCACGTCTACAAACCCCGCAGCTCCAATTTTATCCTCGAATAATACTCTGTCCTGCGTACCGGTTACTTATCAAAGCCCTACTATATTTCCAACAAATAATTCATACATGAATTGCCCTAAATCATTTATGCCCCAACCTAGTTCAGACTTCCCACCACCTAAGGCCAATTGCTCTCAGGTACGTCAACCTATCGCCTTTGACTTCCAATCTAGACCTGGTTTCCCACCATTTCATTCTTTTAGTAGCCTACCCTCACCCATTAGCCCCTACTTTCCTTCTAGCCTCCCTCCTCCTCCCCTCCCTCCATTATTTAACTACCAACATGTCTATCCATGTTCTAACTCCCCTAGCATTCCAATGTTTGAAAACTATATCCCCACATCCTTTAGGTCTCATACTCAGCCTTCTCTTGCTGACTCCCCATACGTCAATAACTCTAAATTAACTGGTACTTATTCTCCAAGTGTCATTAATTCGCAGCTTACATATCCGCCTCCAAATTTTTTTTAAATACCGTCGAAAATAGCATTGCCGTTCGAAACACATTAGATATTATATTATTGAATGCCAGGTCACTTATAAACAAGATGGCCCAAATCAGAGCCATTGCTCTGGAAATGACGCCTGATATTATATGTGTAACAGAATCTTGGACACATTCTCTAATTCCTGACTCTGCCCTTCTCATAGATGACTTCGATTTTTACCGCCAAGACCGCACGACTAGGCATGGGGGTGGTTGTCTTCTTTATCTTAAATCCTACCTAAAGCACTCTCCATATTACTTGGATGTTTCCTCATTCACTGGAAACTTCTGCTTTGCATCTGTTATTCTCTCGCCGCAAAGAAAGGCAATTATTGGCTGTATCTACAATCCCCCAAATTCTTTAGCCAGTGATGATTCACAACTCTGTGAAATCTTTAAATTAATTTCGGAAGCTGCTTTCGATGTTAAAATAATCACTGGGGATTTTAACCTTCCTGAAATTGACTGGGTTTCCAATAGCTGCCCACCCCGATTCCAGCCCTTTCAAGATATTGTCAATTTTTCTAGTTGGTCCCAACTGGTGCGCTCTCCAAAAAGAGATAATCACATTTTAGATCTAATCTTTACCAATGACATTGCTCCTCTATCTGTTGCTTTAAAAAAGGACCTCTTTGACAGTGACCACGTATTAATTCATTGTTGCCTACCGCTTGCCTTTTCAAAAAAGACAAGCGCCGTTCAGACTTTCATGAACTACGACTGCGTAGATACTGACTTAATAAATAACTATATGAGATCCTTGGATTGGTGTGGTTTCCTCAATTGTAGCGATGTAACCATTCTTCGTGATGTCATGTCCAATGTTTCCAAGGACATTCTAGAGTTTGTGCCGCGTAGATATCTCAAGCCTAATTCTTCAGATTCCCTTATTGCTCATTTTCTTCAGAACAGACTAAAAAATTTCAGGTGACAACTGCGTGACCCATCCACTAGTTCCTTATCTGTTTATCTTAGAATCACAGAGATAATTGAGATGTTAATAACTATCGGGGCGTGCACAAAACGCCGTCTCTAGCAAAACTTCTTGAAAGGATTATTTTCAATGAAATTTTTGACTTCTGTCTAGCTAATCGGCTTCTGAGCTCTAGTCAGCATGGATTTTTACCTGAACGATCCTGCGAAACATGCCACTTGGCTTTTCTTAATCTAATCACTTCTCTTCGTAATGAGCGGCAGTCAGTGGTAGTTATTTACTTTGATCTTAGCAAAGCCTTTGACAAGGTGCCCCATAGACGTCTTTTAGTAAAATTGGAAGCTCTCGGCATCCGGCCGCCTCTACTCGACTTCATCAGGTCCTATCTGTCCAAACGATATCAGAAAGTCATGGTCGGTAATAGCTACTCGACACCCCACTCGATCACGAGTGGCGTACTTCAAGGAACGGTTCTGGGTCCGCTACTCTTTCTTCTGTCATCAATGATATTTCGACTGAACTCGGAAATTCGCAAACTTTTACTTTTGCCGATGACCTCAAGTGTGTTTACTCATACTCTAAGGACACCGCTAACGTTTGTGTTGAAAAAATTAATGACGATTTACTACGCTTAAGCAGATGGAATTCGACATGGCAGATGGAGTTTTCATCATCCAAGTGTAGTTTCATGTCTTTTGGTCACAACAAACTTCCTGGTCCCATAATTTTTCAGAATAACCCACTCTCAGAATGCTTCACCATAAAGGACCTAGGTCTAAGTTATACAAATAAGCTTGCTTTATCACCTCATGAAGATAGAATCTCCGCCAAAGCCGCGCAGATATGTGGATTCATATCGCATATTTTTTTTCCTTCCGGAAATGAAGCTAAGACTTTATCAAATGTTTGTTCTTCCAGTCCTCGAATATTGCTGTCCTTTCTTTGTTTTAATGAACGCCTGCGACAGTAATAAAATCGAAAATGTTCAGAGGGTTTTCACCCGGAAACTGTTTTTTCAAGCTTCGTCCAGTCTTTCTTATACTCAGAGACGTCA